GCTGGTTTTCCAGGCACTAAGCCGGCCAATATTAGAGGGGTGGGAGTCCAGATATTCAGGAAGCAACTGTTCACTGAAGCATTGAGAAGCAATCGTGACATGCTTTTCGTATATCCCAGTAGCACATTCACACGTTCCGAATCCCGTAAAAAAGCCCATTTCTCGTAAAATTTACTGAAAATATTTAAAAATATTGACAAGCAAGCCAACGGTGAAACAAAAAATTAAACAAGCCATGGTTAAATTTTGGTATATCTGAGTTTGTCAATGTAAGATGCATCTTACTGATATCGGAAGCTTTAGCTTGAAAAAATGATTTCTGGTGTTACTAAAGACCAGACCATAAATCAACACCAATTTTAAATATTCCAGACCAAAACAAGCGGCAAAAATGAAAAATTAAGTACTTTTTATTCCAATAAAACTTTTTTCCAATAATTTTCATGAAATTTTTCCAATTCTCCCATGAAAATAATTTTTATTCCAATAAATTAAGTAAAAATTTTATTCCAATAAAACCATGAAAATGCTTTCATGGGCGCAAAATATCAGTCTAGAAGGAGCATAAAATTTAGCTAAAAATCGGAAAAAATTAATTTGGAGACCAAAAATCAGCTAGGTACTTGCAAGGCCGAGTTAAAAATCTTACATGAAAAAGTCCGAGTACCGAATCAGAGTACCAAAAAACTACGGCAAAATAAAACACGTATGAAAAATATCACCGAAAAAAAATTACCTTAAAGCAACGGTGTTACGTGATAATAGATTCAGATAATTTTCCATTGTATTTTCATTCAACAATATCCTCAGCCATGCCTTCAAAAAAAAGTGGGGGCTAACTTTTGAAAATTGAAATTCTCATTGAATAACAAAAAAAATGCTCGAACTTCAGTGTGACGATATGTAAACTGTGAAATTTATGCACATTTATTTTAGATTTCTTACCTTCCTTCTATTCCTTTTTTTTTCTATTTTTTTCTTCTCTTTTTTCACTCCTTTTTATTACAACTTTCTATTTATATCATGTACTGACGAGGTCCAGTTGTGGTACTGAACAGAAATGTAAAAAAAAATTAATAGGCTGAAACATCCCTGTTCATCTGATTATCTTCTAATATACTTAGATTTCAATATATATCCTTGATACCATTATTATACAT